AGTGTGTGGTTTGTGATGAAAATGTTGGACACAATCAGTACGTGAAGTGCAATAATAGTGATTGTAATGTAAACTATTGTCTTCAGTGTTGGGATGAGTGTCATCGACGGTGTCTGGTCTGCACTCCTGATGTGACCAACAATTAATTATATTTCTTATTTATTATTTTATAAATTCATTTTATTTTTAATTAGTTTTATTTTATTTAACATTTTAGATATTATATAAATTGTTGCCATGTATTGAGATTTAATGAATAAATGTTTTTATAACTTATATCTATTTATACTTAAAGTTAGGACTGACTGAAGGCTCATGTAATGAATGTAAAGATATGGTCAACCGATGAATGAAATTGTATTATCCATGAAAATTATTTTCAATTATAAAACTTTTTCAATTCTCGCAATTCAATAATAATAATTTTATAAATTACATAAATTAAGTTATATTGATTTTAAAATGTTTCAATTGTAAATCTCGACATTTAAATTGTATGACTATTCAAACCTTAATTGTTTTATTAGATGTTTTATGCGTTTTAACGAATAGAGATTTAAATAAAAGTAAATTTTGATATCAATTACAAAACAGTAATTAATTGTATGAGAAAAATGTATAAACCCGTAGACATTATCAAAATAATATCGCTTTTGTTATTAACATTATGTATGTATTCATATGTAAATCATTTTTATGTAATATATTTTCGATAAAATTACTTTTAGTGGAAACCTATGGACGGCCGCCACTCCCGCCCACAACCACAACAGTCCCGCCATTTACTCTCTCTGCCGCTGATATGTCTAAATACGGGATTAACGACAAGAACTGTGGCCTCAAATTCACACACGAAACCATTGACATATTGTATGACACAAAATGTTTTCACAACAGCTATAGTCCACTGCCAGTGATGGATGTGTACGGCTCGCACTTATGGCGTAAACAGCATCGGATGACCAGTCGTTTAATGGGTGGTAAGGGAATAGCTCGGCGCGGGGAGGCACCATGGGCGGTTAGCATTGCCAACACCGGCAGGAATCGCAAACCCGTTGAATACTTTGACATTGAGTGCAGCGGTGTATTGATTGCCAAACGATGGGTTTTAACGGCCGCCGAATGTCTCATACCGTGAGTAGCGTTAAAAATAATACATTAAATTATATTATGATTAAGTAATTACGATATAAAACCAAGGTGATATAATAAATGTTTAACAATAATAGTCATACCATTATATATTATTCATGTATAGTCAGGGGAAGTGGTATTCGCAGCGATTGGTTAAGTTTGGTAATTATAAAGTGAAAGGAGTGGACGAAGTGAAGTGTGAAGTCAACCACAATTATTACGGCGTTCGCCGCTCAGACGGCGTGGCTCTGTGTCTACTCGAGCGGGACGTCAAGTTCGAGATGGAGGGTCGACACATGTTGGTCAACACCGTATGCCTGCCTGAGTCGGGTCAGGCGCCGGCACAGACCGAGTTGACCACAATGTACGGCTTTGGAGTGCGGGACTGGGCTAATATTTCACAAGATTGGATGCATCGTGGTGAAGTATATTTACAGCCGCACAGCCACTGCACCGGCACCGATCCCGAAATGGTTTGCTCCAAAAACAACGTGACCACACCCTGTCATGTGAGTGGCATTTGGTTTGCATTTAAATAGCAGTTATTTATCAAATTATTTTTGTATTATTTTGAGGGCGATTACGGCGCCGGTGTTGTCAAGTATACTGACAAATATAAGACCCGGGCTAAACTGGCCGCCACACTCGTAATTCGTCAGGGACAAATTATAACAGACAAAGCATGCCATCCACTGTACAGTTATTACATCTCCACCACATATATTATGGATTGGATATTAAAGACAATTCAAACCAAAACCACACCAATAGTTACTACACCTTAGAGTGGATAACAAATACTCAGCATTTTATACGGATTTGGAGACATTTTTCTTAATATTTATTAAATCTAACTTATATTTAAATATATTATGTATTTTTTGTTAATATCTTAATTTTTATTTAATAAAATGTGATAAAACTAATTGTTTCTCAAATGAAATGCATCTATAATTTCGATCGATTCGCTAAACATGTCTTGTTTTTATTGCCGTAGAATTAATATATTTACCGATTTATACAAATAGTCATTGATTTTAATATTTTAATTATTTGTTTTAAACGATTTGTAAATTTATAGTCAATACTAACTAACAGGCAGTTATTTTATGCATAAAATAAAAATTCTATAACATACTGTATAACACATGTATATACTTTACAATAAAAATCAATATTTTATAATTAGCGTTCAGTAAATGCTTTTTGTGAATGAGAGTATTATTCAATATAACAATTAAAGTATTGGTCGTAACTTAACAATAGATATTACATAATTCAATGATTAAATATCTATTTTTATTTTTAACACTTGAAAATAAATACAATTATAAATTGCAAACATTTATGCAAAATAAAATGCAAAATAAATTTTAAATGCTAACAATAAATAACAATAATAATGATTAAACATAGGTTTTAATTATTTAATCGTTAGTTATTCATAAATCAAATTGATTTATGAATCATTTGGTTTAAAATTGATTTTCCAAATAAAACAAATTATTTATTTATTACTTGTTTTATAAGTTTCTCGCGTTAAAAATAAATATTTGAATTTTATGTAAATTCAGTTTAATTTAAGGTATTATCGCAAGTGTTGGACATTAAGTGATGTATCGATTGTACAATTGGGCGAAGAGTTTGGGTCCAAAGAACTGGAAGAATGACAATACGATTAAACTAAAGGTA